ACAGTTGCCTTTTGTATCTATGCTTCTTTTTCTATGTCTGCTTCTGTTTCCTTGAACCCCAGTCGGCCTCAGCAGATGGCCGCTCACACTGAGCCTGGTTCTGCTGGAGGTTTTTTCTCTCCACTGTCGCTACGACATAACGCTTCTGTCATTGGACAGAAGTTCTGGACACGTTTTAGGAGATTCTGGGACGTCAGGCAGACCCTGGATCAATCAGCAAGGCGTGACAGGAGCCCAAACAGAATCCTTGACTTTTCTCATCTTAGGGAAGAAAGTGCTTCTTGCAAGATTTGTTATAAAATACAACTTTATTCTTACAAATTTACGACTTTATTCTCATATTTAACATAGATTAATCTCTAGCCCGGCCCTAATATTCCTTTGTAATGAAGCATGCTGACAGATGAAAACTTTTTTCATCTTAAATGTAAAGTTTTACATATTTTTTTTCCAATCTAGGAATAATTCCTGCTCTAAGTTGGTCGCTCTGTCAGCTAAAGGCACGTCGTAGAGCCTCTACACTCCAGTTAATGATCAATCTAGATTTAGATGGCGATAATTTCAATAATTGATTAATCAGGATAATTCCGATTAATTGTTTCATCGCTAAACTGAGAAGCTGCTCTTCTACCTGAACGTGGCTGTTCTGGCTGGCCAGGTGCAGAGGTGTGGCGTTCTGGTTGGTGCGGGCGTTGACGTTGGCCCCGTGGCGGATGAGCAGCGCCGCTATGGACGAGTGGCCGTGCAGCGCGGCCACGTGGAGCGGCGTGAAGCCGTCTGCGTTGCAGCTGCTGACTCCCAGCACTCCGGCCTGCTGCACAGGGAGCTGCAGGAAACCACAGACGTCCTTTAACACAACATCTGCTCCCAGGAGGATAAAACCTTCCTGGACCAAAGGCTGCAGACCTTCTGGGTAGGAGCACAGTTGGGACACTGACAGAGCGGGTGACAGAGGCGGGACTCAGACCGCAGCTCTCCTTCATCCTCCTCTTCGTCTGTCCACTCCAACAGGTAGCGCATCTGAAACAGACGGCAACGGTTCACAAAGCAGCCGTCTACAGCCGGAGCCGCCAGATCAAAGAACTCACCATCTCCACATCCCCATCAGCTACAGCCCGCAGCAGCTTCTCCACCTGACAAACACATGGATGGAGAGATGAACTCATGCTCACACTACGGCTCCTCCTCTTCCTCCCATCACGGCTGCCACATGACTACTAGGATCAAAAGCTCTGCTTGGTTTAGGGTGGTGCTTTAGTTTGTTCACCTCTCTGTGTCGAACGCCTTCAGCCTCGGGTTTGGACTCTGAGCTGACAGAAGACGTGCTGGAGACGGAGGAGCGGCGGCTGCTGCTGCAGTCCGACGCCAGGGGGGAGCAACTCGGAGACTGGATCGATAAGGAGGAGGAACGCAACAAAAACAGATGGAAAAAGATTTTAAAATGGTTCAAACTGCTTCAAAAACTGCAACAACGTCATGTAGAAAAAAGATTTTTTTTTCATAATCCCTTTAAATAAAACACGACTCCATGTTCAGCATGTACAGCATTTTGCACTGTTTTCCTTTTCTTCTACACTCTTTACATTCTGATCACTGCTGTACTTTATAATTGGTAATGTTCATTTCACTGTTTGCATCCAAATGTAATTTTGTATACCCTCTGCAAACAGAAAATGACAATAAAGTTAGTCTTAGTCTAAAACTAAAAAATGTCCCAGATAGTAAAGCTGCTGTACTGTTTTACTAGAGGTCGTTTGGTTTAAAAACAAACCTGCATAAAGTGTGTTAAACTTTGAAAGTTGGTAACCAACGGTTACAGTTACGTTGTTCAGGTAAAATCTAATCATGAAGGAAATGTTGTTTTCCGAGGTTATAAGGCTAAATTATTTTTAGATACAAGTTCAGCGTGTTTTCTTTGCATCTCTGTTATCCCTCACCTGACAAAATCTATGGATGCATGACATGAAGAATTGGAGAATTTGAGGAGTAACAATCCATGTAGATTAAGAACAGTTCTACAGTTATTAGGAGCTTGGCTATATAAGTGTTTCCCATTAATGAGTGTTGCCAACTCAGCGACTTTGTCGCTATATTTAGCGACTTTTCAGACCCCTCCAGCGACTTTTTCAAAAAAACGACTAGAGACAAATCTAGCGACTGTTCTGGTGTCACAGGCGGCTTTTGGAGACTCTTACGTGACTGCACGTATCGTTCCTACTCTTGTCCTCCAGCAGCATGTGCTGCCGTGGGGCGCCTCCCCCGTCCCAACTCTGCAGTCAGAGCTGCAGCATGTTTACCCTCAGGGAGCAAGTGGGATATAAATGTGAAATGTTATTTGGTCTAAAATGCGACAGTGGCGTTGGATGTAGGAGTTTGCCCTGAAATCGAAGGGTTGATGGTTCAAGCCTCGACTCCGACTTTCAGTGTCGTTGTGTCCTTGGGCAAGACACTTAACCTGCATTGTCTACTGATGGTGGTCAGAG